AGAGAGAGAGAGATAGAGTGAAACTGTATGTTGTATACATTCCACACTTTCTTTCTACACCTTGTCTATAATTAAGTTTTATATCTTTTAAAATGGCAAATAACAGTCCATTTCCAATTTTAACACGATGAATGTTTTTGGTTCAGATTTTTCAAACTTTCTGGAAAATATATACAAACAAGTTACACATGAAAGGAAAAATGAAAAGTGACTGGAGAAACCAGATGACTGACCCGATCCATAGGGCACGAGGGTCAATGAATGGTTTGATGAATATGAAAATGACGTGAATCATATGCTGTGGCCTTCAGACTGTCAGATCTTAAATCATCCAAGATTTTGGACCAATGGGTTAGACAGCTCTCTCCCTCACCATCAACAAAACACCAAATGAGGGAATACCTTTTGTAAAAAAGAAGTTTATCCCTCCAATAGAGTTCAGGGACTTATAGAATCAATGCCAAGAAGCAGTGAAGCTGTTCTGGCAGCACATGGTGGCCCAACACCTTACTAAGACACTTTATGTTGGTTTTTCATTTACTTTGTCACCAATTTGTAACTTGGTTAAGAAACTATTCAAATTAAGTTTTATTATTATTATATTATATTTTTATTATAACCCATGTGACATGATTTGCAGTCAGCTTGGAGAGGGGAGTGAATTAAAACACACTGTCCAGTAAACAGCTGAGAGCACAAGTAGCCACTATAGCACCTAACAACCAGCGCCAACAATTTTGCAACATTACTCTAATTATTTCTGTTGAATCTACTCACTGTGGCAGGTAACCTCATCAGACAGATGCAACAAACAGTGCAGTCCATATGTTTCATCATTCGCCCCACCCCAGACCACAAAGTATAGAAATAGGTAGCTATACACGTCATTAAAACCACAATCTTAATCTTAATACTAGCTTCCTTGCAGTCTGAATGAATGTTGTGCACAAGCTGAGACAGTCCTTTGTATGTCCAGTCAACATCATTCAGTCCTGCAGACTCCAGGAAGTTCTTAAAATTATTATTTTTTTCTTACTTTTTGCAAGCAACTGTACCACATATTTTCCAACACAAATGACCCCCTTGTTCTCTGGTAACATTGTGAATATTAACATTTCAGTACACAGTAGTTACAGTACTGTTGGTTACTGACCAATTTATCCAGCAAATTGCTGTATACAGTTAGTGATCATGGCAACACTTGAGTATCAAGTATCTTTTCACACACTAGTTGTCAGGCAGGGAGGCAGCAGGTATTTGTAGACTGTCCAGAACAAACAGCCTGTCTGGTCACTGAGAGTGGTTATGTGGCTCATCAGCCTATACTGACAATTTACATTTGTCTCAGTGTGTAGTGTACAGAAGGCTCAGTGCTTTCTTGGAGAGTAGGTAGGGACGATGTGACCAGCCAGGCATCGGAAGAGCAACAGCCAGACTTGTTTAATAATCTTTAATTAACTCACAGTGGGAGGTTTGATATAAATTTATCTGTAGCTGTTTGATTGTTATGTTATGTATAATTACTTGTTTAAAACTGTTTTTTAAATTGCTCATCTTAGCAAAGGGTAACGAACAAGTTTTTTAAACGCTTTGTTAATAGATTTTTTTTCAACAGAAATTTGCTTGTTTGCACGTTGGGTTTATGTTGGTGTTGAGCTCCTTCAGCTGTCTTAAACATGTCAGCATCCGGCCGAGGTTAAACTCTGGTCTTTCCCCAGGCTCTGACTCTCTTCTTCAGACTGCCTCCTCTGCCACATTTCTTTTTCTTTCTGAAGAGAGCACAGTTGTTGAAAGCTACATTACTCAGCTGCACATCTGTAGTTTTAATAGCTTCACACTTCATTTCAAAGTGAGGGAGCTCTCCCTGTGATTTAGTTGAGAAACCTCTTTTGTGCCTTAAGTCATTTCTGCCTCGCTCAGGGGAAATGAGATCCAGGGACAAGCAGAATAAATACATAGTGCATGTACAACTTGTAAAACAAGTCAATTTGATGATGAGCTAATTGTTCTACAGTTGTTGTACTATACTCTCAAAATAATTTGACAATTACACTGAGGAAACTAGTGAACATGTCTTATCTTTGCCTATAAATAATAGCTGCAAATGACACAAGCTAGTCAAGACTAAAGTAGAAGAAAGAGAAAAAATGTATGTATGTATATGTATTCCTGTCCTTTTTATTTACAATAATTGTTAGACTAAAATAGGCCTGTAAATACAAAAAGTGATACTTGTTCCTTTCAGCATTCACACCTAATCAGCTTCCAAACTGCACATTTTAGTCCAGTGACGACAATAGGACTCTTTCCAGACAATATGCCAACTGACTAAAGCCATATTTTTCTTCACTTTACACTGGCTGTTGGTTCTGTTTTATTCCCTGTTGCTATCTTCACAATTATGATTAGAAGAATGTGTGTTTTTCCTGTACCTCACATTAGCTTTGATTTGATTATTTTCTCTCTGTCCTTACCCCAAAAAAGATGAACTTTGGTGATCTCACATCCTAAATGTCATGACGGCACTGCGCAGCCTCAAAGTCTGAGGCTAGAGAGCATCATCGGCCAGCAGGCAGACAGACAGACAGCTGAGCGAGAGAGACAGATAGGTAATTAGGCTGGCAGGTGGACAGACAGGCAGTTGGGAAAGAAGACAGTCCTCGTGGGCCACTGGCAATGAATATGATATCCATGATCGCACTTTAATCTCTGCTGAGCATAAACCAACACAAACACACACACACAAACACACAGTCATGGACATACATACACACACCCTAACACACACAGGCAAAGTAGGTGTGGTGGTGGTAGCAACTTGCTGCTGTCTGTCAGTCCAGTTAAACTGCAGTCAGGCCAGTGTCACCCTGACAAACAATGAACGCTGTTCCTCCTGTGTGACTGTGACAACCTCTCTCTCTCTCTCTCTCTCTCTCTCACACACACACACATACACACACACACACACAAAGTGTTTGGCAAAAGAGCAATGTGGTCCTGAGAAAGAGCTGAAAATTGAGGTTTGACTGTGTGACAGCATCTATATTTTAATGTATGACAGGGAGAGAGAGAGGGGTGAGAGAGTGACAGAGAGAGAGAGAGAAAGAGAGAGAGTAGATGTAGCTCGTCCCCCGCGTCCTGCTTCTGAGAGAAGTCCTTTTGGCCTGTCATTCACCGTCAGCTTGTATTAGAGGCTGAAGGAAACCCCTGGGAGAGAGAAACAGAAACGGAGAGACAGGGAGGAAAACTGCAGGAATGACGAAGGGGAGGGAGGAGGAGAAAAAAACAGGCAGAGAAAGGAAGACAGAAAGACTGAGAGAAGGGATGGGAGAGGAAAGGGTAAGGAGGAGAAAAAAGGAAAACAAAGTGGTAAAGAAACAGAGGAAATAGAGAATGATGGAGAAAAGGGAGTGAAAGAGAGAGAAAAAGAAAAAAGCAGCTGAAAGATGAGTAAAGGAGAAAGAAAAAGATGATACAGAATAAAGGAAGGGAGACGGAAAGAAAATAAGAATTAGAAAGGAATGAAAAGAGAAACATTAGACAAAGTATCAGGGAGATAAGAAAAAAAGAAGATGGAGAGGATGAACATAGAAAAAGAAGGATGAAGCACAAGTTGAGGATGACTAATGACCTTCAAATGGTCAAGTTAAAAACAGAAGGCTTTAAAAAGTAGTTGATAGTTTAAGTAGTTTAGCAGTAGCAGCTAGTTTATCTGTGCTTTTACCTTGAGAGTCACTAAACTTGAAACCATAACAACCGAAGCCCATCAAAACAGTCAGCAAAGTTGAGATAATATCATTTGGTCACTGACACTATACATTTTCCAGTTTTTGACTCCACTGAGTTAATGTTGAGTTTGAAAGACCATCGTGTTTACCAGGCAGGCAGGTCTAATGAAGAAATGCTAGCAAGTTGCATTATGGGAAGTGATGCGGAAGATGCAGCTTTTTTTTGGGACTTTGAGCCGCACTAGGTAATAAACGTCAGGATATCTCACCCCCTGCTGCATCAGTATTCATCTGTCTGCCTGAATCTCTCGACTATGCCATAAAATTACCTGCCATGTCTGTGTGCAAACACCTCCACCCCCCCTCCCTGATATTTTCTAACCATCATGTCTGCTCCATGTCTGTTTGGGCTTGTTTGCTGTTTAATCCAACTGCAAGCTGAGTTTTACATGATTTCAGGAGGTATTTACACTTCCTGGAGATTTTTCATCTCTACACCTATGACTACCTGCTGGTTGCAGAGCAATTTTATCAACTCCATTTCCAGGCAGTCTTCAGGTTCAGTGATGATAATAATGATCGTAATGGTGATGAAGATGTTGACTGGTGGATTACATCGTAAATGTTGACTGTACCTATGACTGCTTATCTTATGTGGCTGCTACTTCATGGACTGCTGTAAACTGTAAACTGCTGAGAAGACAGTGTGTGTTTGGGTGGGTGAGAGGGGAAAGCAATAGAAAGATGGGGGAGGGGGAGGCAGTATAAAGAACAAGTTTGTAAGATGTAGGAAGATAGGTAGATAGATAGATAGATAGATAGATAGATATGTGTAGAAGAGAATGGGGGAGGTAAGCCAGAGTGAGAGAGAGAGAGAGACAGAGGGAAAGAGATGCTAGATAAAGCTGCCGGGTGGGGAGGGGGGCGGTCGGCAGGCAGTGATTGGAAAATATCAAAGACGCGCACGCGCTAATCCGATGATGGGTCTCCGTTAAAGGGGGGAGGGAGGGGTCTGTAAAAAGAAAAAAAAAGAGTAGGACCAGGGCATCTTGCGCTCGCGCGCCGCGTCCCTTCCTCTCGAGCCTTTTGTGTTTGAGACTCTCATATCTCACATATCAATAATTCAAGCGCGCGCGAGAGAGAGCAGACGGAGCTCCCTCCCGCGCGCTATGAGTTCTTCTGCCTCGTCACTCGTCCAGGGCCCTTCCGCACCGCGCGCGACTCCCCGCTTTCTGTGTCTCCAAGTGACAGAAAACTGCTGAGAAGTGACAAAAAAAGGAGAAGAACAGGTACAAACTGGAAACTCGATAGGAGATACGGGCTAACAAGCTGGTTTTCAAGAAAAAGCAGGAGAGAAGCCTGAAGATAAATCGTCTGGTTCCCCCTCAGAGAGACTTCGTGAGGAAGAAACAGTTTGCTGTAGGCTATTAAATCCAAGAAATCGGAGTGTCATCTAGTTGTGAAACAAGCCCTCTGAAGGTTCACCGGGGGACGACGGGAAACTATTTCCACCTGATTTTTAAGAGGGGAATAGACCCACGGTTTAAGGTACGAAGACGACAGAAGAAGTTCGCCGTTCTGGTTCGGTATGTTGGCGTTTTGCTTGATAAGTGCCGTGTGGCTCGCGGCAAGTCCGGTCCGCGCTCAGAACGAGACGGAACCAATCGTCCTGGAGGGGAAGTGCCTAGTGGTGTGCGACTCCAACCCGACCTCGGACCCCACGGGCACGGCACTCGGGATCTCGGTGCGCTCGGGCAGCGCCAAGGTGGCGTTTTCCGCAGTACGGAACACCAACCATGAGCCCTCCGAGATGAGCAACCGAACCATGGTCATCTACTTCGATCGGGTAGGACGCAAAATATCTGTTTTATTCTGTTCTGTTTACACTAAATCAAAGAAACAGTGTATGTTTATAGTTGTTTTCAGTCAGTTTTACATCAGTTTGATCCCAGAGAATGCTGTAGACCAGCGCACGTGAAGTTTGAGATGGTATGTGTGTGTTAAATGTGTGGCATATAGTAGCCTATATCGCCTGGTATTGTAACAGTCAAATAGCCCGTGTAGGGAGGATAACTTGCGTGTCGCTGGAGAGAAGCGTAAAATATCACATACAGAGGCTTCAGAAGCAATGTGTTTGTGTTTCATGTTTATATTTATTTAATAACCTTCCCAAGTTTGTTTCCCTTGTCTTTTTTTCTGTATCTTAAAACTCCTTCACGTACATTTATATTTCATATAGGATATATGCAATAAATGATCAACTTAATCAAGGGGAAGGCTATATGTGAAAGACTATAAGAAAGTCGGTAAAACCAAAAGTCCAGGTTAAATTAGACAATGGATAGGGTGTAGAATGCCACAGAGCTGCATCTCGTGCACCTATGGGCTCGTGGACAGCAGGGAGCTGCTCCATTCCAGATAAGTAAAAGTGGAGCTGAAATGAATCGTCTCGGTAACGATTCCTTTTATAGATAATACATTTCCAAAGTGGATGGGGAAGAATAGCCTGATAGGCAAGACTTTTGAATATTTAAACTTTTTGAGCTGACAATATGCAATATGGGAACTGACGTCTCGCCAAATAAATTAGTAACGGCAGGTCGCGAGGGCGAGGTCCTACCCGCCTGCCGTTAAAGGTTAATTCTCCCTCAAACTGCCGTTCAATTACACGCCATAGTTCGCCTCCATCCATAAAACCAGACATTTGGCTGCTGAAATGCATAATTGAAAAATTCATTTGAAAGATTGATTAAGTTCCCTTTCATTCCCCATGAAGTTTGGGAGTTGTGTCGTGGAAAAAGCCGAGATAAAAGCAGAGAGTTATTCTTCTGCAACATCTTTGAATCTGAGTTTGTGGTCAGAGGGGCCCTTTTGAGTCCCCTATCCCAAAAGTCAATTTGAATAGGATCTCCAGAAATTATTCCGAAAAGAAAATACAAAATGAATCACATCATTCCTATAGCCTAAGTAAACTGATGAGATTCGTAAGAATAAATGTTGTCATCTTTGCTTAATGTGCGTCTGTTTGGAGTCACATATTTAGGATTGATTGCTTTTTAAGATGCAGACAGTTGTTTGTTTGTCAGGACGCCCATAATAATAATTTTACATGCACCCATGTGATCTTGCAGTGACTTCTGAATGCAAATATTGTGAAAGACATGAGCAGGATAAAGCAATTTTATCAATTAATTTTTCTTTCTTTCTTTTTCTTTCTTTCTTTCTTTCTTTCTTTCTTTCTTTCTTTCTTTCAGGTTCTAGTAAACGTTGGGAGGAATTTTGACGAGGAGAGAAGTAATTTCATCGCGCCGCGCAAAGGGATTTACAGTTTTAACTTCCATGTAGTGAAAGTCTACAACCGCCAAACTATACAGGTAGAGTGTGTTCGTGTGTTTATCTTTTATGTGTTTGTGTGTGTGTGTGTGTGTGTGTGTGTGTGTGTGTGTGTTTGTGTGTGTTTGTGTGTGTTTGTGTGTGTGCGCGCGCGCGCGCCGACCTCACCAAGCTCCCCCTCGCTGTTTTTCCCTCATAAAAGTTGCATATCATCCGCGCTGGCAGTCATTTTGTAGATGTTTGAGATGTCTTTCCTCGGAGACAACGACGGAGGCGGGCAGATGAAAGCTAGTCGCCCGCCACCCGCCGGCCCAATCATAATTAATCAATACATGCACAGAGGACAGAGCCAAATCGAGCGCGTGTAGCCGACAGGACGACGGGGTGCTGCAGTGAGCTCGAGGAGGGGCACGCGGCTCTATGGAGCAGCGTTAATTTCAGCACCACGGACAGCGACGTTTCCTCATGGCTTTCTTTCCATGAAAAGAGGCAGCAGGCTGACTGGGATTTTTTTGTCATTTAGCAAATTAAAACATTAAGTAAATTTTGAGCAGAACAAACAGAGACAGGCGTTTTAATTTCCTCTCTCACATTAAGATACACAAACTCACATGGGTTTTATATGGTAATAACAGGCTTTTCACTTATTTGTTTCTCACACACTGCCTGCAGTGTGCCCAATCACAGCTCTTCTTTCATCTTACTAACAACTCGTTTTTACTGTTCTATTAACTTAGTTACAGTCTCCATATTCTATTAATGTGTCATGTGAGTGATATCACTTGAGCAGTCTAAAGCCCATTTCCAGTATTTAACATGCACATGATGACATGATGATGCTTTACAAGCCACACAGCATTAATTACAATGTATCTCTAGCAAATTAAACTGTTGTGTAATTATGCTGTTGTGTCCCTGGGGCTTTAGCATTATGTTTTGCTACTTATACTTTATTACTGGAGTCTTGAATTAATTAGCAGGGCAGCAGCAGTAACGACAATAACAACAACAAGTGGGGGCAGGCGATATGTGAAGGGGAAAAGCTATGTCAAGATCTGTGTGTACTCCCCGTCATCTTTGTGCAACTGAATGCAAATAGACCATGGATGGCAAACACTTGACTCATGGCACTGAGGTAATTAAGTCTGTCATACCATCCAGAACATGGTGACAGTAATGTCTGTCACATTACCATTAGTACTGATATTTGTGCCAAATTGGTGTGTTCTCTTAGTATAGCTATGAAATGCTGTTAGCTGCAAAACAGGAAAAGAGGAATTTAAAGGAAAACAAAAAACTGTTACTTGAGTCATTTTGATAATCACTTGACTGGCAGACTTTTACAACCAGATTATTTAGGCTAGAGTACATCACTTATGGGCATGTCCTCGAAAGCCTTAAACATTTTTGATAATAACGTTTAAAAACTGATTTTGAATGTTTAGAAAAAGCTTTGCTCTGTCACGTTTTTGACACGACAGACAGGTGTAGTGTGTCCTTTCTCTTCTAAGCATCCAACCTGTGCGGTGCTCACCCTCAACCTCTTCCACTCATACTCCCTTCCATCCAGCGCATCTGCTGTGTTGAAAACTCCTACTGTTTGATTGCCTTAGAGGGAGCTACTGTGGTGCATGCAGGAGATGAGAGACAGCCGGAAGGAGGAGAGTGGTTCAGAGTAAATGCAAAACAGTTAGAGGGACAAGAGTAAAGAAAAGAGGTGAGGAGGAATGAGAAGGCCATGGAAAAGAGGAAAAAGAAAGTGAAGAAAAATGGGGAATGGAAAGAATTGGAAGGCGATTGGAGGGAGGGACAGAAAAAAATAAAGGATGAACAGAAGAGAAAAAGATGAGAAGGATAAGTCAGTGAAGAAGAAATGGTGGACAGGTAGGAAAGAGAATGAGAAGATTCAGGCAGCTTGAAGAGAGAAATAGGAACAAAGCCAGACATCTTGAGGAACTATTGATCAGCGGATGCTGGGTAGATGTACAAAGGGAAGGATAAACAGTTAGTTCCATCTCTCATCAGTGCTTTCCGCTGCAGGAATCCATCTAAGTATCTGTGAGGGGTGATGTGGGTGTCAAAATGCCACTACAAACCTATCTCTCTCTCTCTATCTGCCTCTGCTTTTTGCCTAGCAATTAAATACAGGCAATGCAGATTAAATAGAGTATATTTGTGGATCTGAAGAGAACTCTACCCATAATGCCACCCATCAGCTATGCCTATACTTCCAATAATGGTTAGCTTACTTATAGTACAGTATCTTGAAAATCACTGACAATATACATATCAAACATTTCCCTTTGTTACAGTATTCCATTTCAGGTGCAACGATTTACATTTCATACATGTACCACTGCTGTCTGTTTGAAATCAAATTGAAACAAAGAAATTCTATTAGTGAACATCTTGTACCTGCAGCTTGGAAAAGAGAGAGCTCACAGATCAGAAAGACAAACAGATGAGGTGCTGGTAGGATATCAGTGCTCTACAGTGTGAAGTGCTCTCTGGTTAGATTCGTCATTAGTTTAGTACAAGTTTCTTTTTCACTGCTTTCTGAAGACTGTAAAACTGTATGTTGGTGGTTTGAGGTATTAGATGGGTTAATGTGCCCTCCGTTAAAGCACTGCTTGGCAACTTTAACAAAATCAAAATGTAAGCCAGCAGTCTTATTATTATTATTAATCAGTCTGTCAGTGTTAAGTAGTTGTTTATAATTAAGAGCAAAAACTTGTTTGGCTGGGAGATGAAGAAGAAATATTCCATTACTGTTTATTTTGATTTTGCAGCGTGAATAAATGATATTTTACAACAGCATTTTGAGCAGCCAAGCATTCGGAAGTGGCATCCTTAAAGGCCTCAGGCCTCAAAGCAGCTCTGGAGGCATGAAAGATACACAAGTACCGTGTCTAAAATATCACATGCTGAGTATGTATTAAGGCCTGTCTGGTACTGCCGTTTTCCAATTGAGAGAAGAAAAACCTTGAGGCACTGCTTCAAGCTGTTGATGGCACACTGTCTTTATGATGAGAGATTTTACCTTTTCTGTCCTACGCTTATAAGAACTTATTTCACATTTTGACTCAGAGTAGCTACATCTGTCTACAAATCTGTCCAAATCCTTTCAACTCTTTCCGTGCTCACTCATGTTTATACTTTTATAGTTTTATTCTTGAACTTGGGTTACTGGCGATCATCCCATATTCTAGTGAGATATTTCACCCCTGAGGGATAGCAAACATGCTATCTTTTCAAATGCCATGCATTAAATTCAGGACAGCAAATGCTATCCCTGTTAATTGTATTATATACTATAGCAAGAAAACTGCAAATTGTACAAGCATGGTTCAGTTTCATTTGAATCTACTGCAGTTATGCCATGGTGAAATCCAAATGTGTGTTTAGCATCATTGTTGTTCTGATTTAACTCATAATTATGCTTGTCTTTTTATGTCTTTTACATACAAGTGTTAAAAAGGGAGAGTAAATCACCATAGCATTTCAATGTACAGATGAAGCAAGACTTTAAATAGATTTTTTAACCACCATGAGGCTAGTTGGATATTTTGGGCAGTGAGAGACCAGAGTCACTGATTTTCAAGATATCCACAGTTTCTACTGTAGTCTGATATTAGCTGCCTAAAGAGTACTGCTTGTAAAAAGTCGTCATTCTGAGGGAAGAATTAAATGTAGTTAAATATTCCTACATGGAGCACAGATAACAGTTTATGTCAGATCTATTTTTACAGCACACTGGACTAGAATTAAGTGACTAGTTAAGTGTATTGTGTTATTTTTGACATATACACTGCAAGCATCAGTGTGTATGCAAACATTTTTTAACAGTATAATTATAGATTTTATATAATCTATAATGAATGTTGTTTGACTGTGCAATGAGCAAGGCTGTTCTCTGATTAAAATGGTTTATAGTCTCATCACAAAGTGCTGATGCTGTGTAAGCACCACTTCATTAAAGTGATGGAGAATTCTGTTTTAAAAACATACGCTTTTAAAGATTGATATGTGTATAGAACCACTGAGATGAAACTTTGCTCAAGCCACATCCCTTCTAGACATCCTTAAATATCATCAAACAGTTTCCTTAATATAGTCAGATTCCCTGTGCTGCTTTCCACTACAGCCACCACACTTATGAGACACTGGCTCAATACAAAAATAGCCAGCAATTATGTAGGAACATAGTGGCACACACACACAACGTCCAGTCAAATAGAAGATCTCAGGGTGAACTCTTACAACAGACCCATATAGTGAGTTGATAACATGAAAGGCTGATTAGACCTAATTACACTGCCCATTGTGTAAATTCTGCTCTTGAAAATGAATTATGATTTTACCACACCTGTTTATACATACATTTGGAGCAACACGCATTTATGTTAGTCTTAAGGACAAATTGTATGTATTAAATTGTTATTACTCTGCCACACAGATGAAAAAAATCATCTTTGAAAATGACTTCCCTTTGTGGTGTGTTCATTCAGCTGGTATGTATTCATACATTTCCAGATATGAACTATTTTGTTTTGAACATGCCTAGTTAACAAATAAAAATTTAAAAATTAAAACAAAAATCCGCTGTGGTAATGCCTACATAATACATCTGGGGACCAAACATAATAAATATTAAATAATAAATAATGATAATAATAAAAAATTATTTGTATAGCACTTTTCAAAAAACAAGTTTACAAAGTGCTTCACAGACAAAAACACAGTGGTGCAATCATGTAGAGTAGAGATGAGAGAAATGAAATAAAAACCTTGAAAGGATAAAAAATAATAAAATCATATTAAAACAAACTCAATGAAAAACCTTTTCAAAATAGTAAAAAATAGTTTTTAAAAGAGGACACATAGACCCTTAGTTACATACCAAATTTACACTGATCGATAATGGCTTGTCTCTCACTTGCATGAACTGAGTCTCTTTGGATCACCTTCACTGGTGAACTAGTGAGGGAGGACATAAATTTGCCCCAAGCACTAGAACAGGGATTAACACAGTGAGTAGTAG